CCCACAAAAGCCGGGCGTTTAATCTCAGCACTCAGGTGGCAGAGGCAGGTGGATCTCTGTGAGTTTGAGACCAGCCTGGTCTACAAGAGCTAATTCCAGGACAGCCTCCAAAACCACAGAGAAACCCTGTCTCGAAGAAAGAAAGAAAGAAAAAAAAATGCTTACTGCTATTGCAGAGGACTGTGGTGTAGCAGATGCTGTCTTCTGGTATCTGCACACATATATACATTCTCTCTCTCTCTCTCTCTCTCTCTCTCTCTCTCTCTCTCTCTCTCTCCCACACACACACACACACACACACACACACTCATAATTAAAATCAAAGTCAACTGTACCTAGGTGTGGTGGCACACGCCTTTAATTCCAGCATAGAAAAGGCAAAGGATCTCTGTCAGTTTAAGGCCAGTCTGACTGACATGGCAAATTCCAGGCAAGCCAGGTTTATACAGTAAGACCCTCTCTGAAAACAAAGCTTTTGGGAAGAAATAAAAACAGTGAAGCCTCAGCCCCTTAAAATTAAGTATAAAAAAGAAATGCAAGTTTATAAAAGCTAACAGTAATAGTAACATTGTGATATGGTTTAATTTTCAAAGCACTTTTCTCCACAATACCTAATTTTTACTTCCTCCAACTTAATGGGGCAGGAAGGCTCATAAAAGTGAGGCCCAGAATTAATATGTAGTAGTGCTCGGACTAGAAATTAGATCTTAGCATTCTCATAAAAATAGGTTTAACTATTTAATTTACAGAGAATCAATAAAGCTGACATTAGACTAGTGTCAGGCACGAATCTCCTTGAATGATTCAGAACACATTTTGGGTCTGCAGGCAAAATCACACGTCTAAGGCAGCCCCATCACAGGAACACTAGTCACCTCCACATCATCCAATGCAGTTAAGATGGGTGACAGAAATGTCTACCTGTAGGACAGCCCAGTTTCCCAGGACTTGATCACTTTAAGGAAGTGATAAGTTACACTCAGAGTCTGAAATCTAGAATTAACACTCATCCTTGATTTTTTTATGGCTACAGTTATATCTGAATTCTGCTTTCTTGACTATAAAGTAGTTCTCTCCCCCGGTCCCACTCCCACAGAACAAATGAGGTGCCCCTGTACTGAATAATTTAATAGTGTGGTCTCTAACACTTGGTAGCTCTACAGAAATCCAAGGTGAGGGCTGGAGAGATGGCTCAGCGGTTAAGAGCACTGACTGTTCTTTCAGAGGTCCTGAGTTCAATTCCCAGCAACCACATGGTGGCTCACAACCACTTTGAATGATATCTGGTGGCCTCTGCTGGCATGTAGGCACAAGACTGTATACATAATAAATAAATAAAACTTAAAAAGAAAGAAAGAAAGAAATCCAAGGTGACATTTTTGTCGAAACATAAAGAAGAAAAGTGACCTTTAGTCAAAACAGAGCAGAAACATTATCAAACTGGTACCCTAAAAAAATTCAAACTTAGGTGGGTGGTGGTGGAGCACGCCTTTGATCCCAGCACTTGGGAGGCAGTGGCAGGTGGATCTCTGTGAGTTCGAGGTCAGCCTGGTCTATAGAGCAAGTTCCATGACAGGCTCCAAAGCTACACAGAGAAACCCTGTCTCTAAAAACCAAACAAACAAAAAAACCCCAAAACAAAAACAACAAAACTCCATAAAGAGAAAACCTACACAAAATAACCCATTCTTACCTACAAAGAAAATGAAAACCATCCATGATGTCATCATGCTAGTAATCACTTAATATTTCCATGTACATTCTTACACACATTAGTGTGAACACCTGGGCATGTTTTGTGTACACATTTTAGAAAATAGGGTCACCAACTCTACTTTGTGTTCTCTTTTTTAACTCTTTGAGTTAAAAAAACAAAAAAACAAAAAACTAGCCTTTGAAAAGAAATGAAAACAAAACAAAACAAAAAACCATTAAGCCCTAACCTCCTAAAATTAAGTACATAAGAAATGCAATTTTACAAGCTGCTTGGTATGTATCAGAGGTACTATTCTACTCCAAATAGAGAGCATTCCTTTCTGTGTCTAACAGGTCACTGAATAGTAAATAACCTTGTCATCTTTGGGCCATGGTATGCCTCCTCCAATCTAAGTAGCTGGCAATCCCATTATAATTTAATCACTAGTTACATTATATAGTCTCAAATTTTCCTACTGTAAACAACGAAGTCACAGTGAACAATCACTGCAGCTTTACTAGAGAGCAAACCACACACCTTTTAAATATTATTTAATCTTATTTTTAATCATGTGCACACATCTGTGTGCATGTATATACATGTGAGAGCAAGTACCTACAGGCTGTCAGGTCTCCTGGTGCTGGAATTATAGGCAGTTCTGAGCCACCCAACATGGTGCTGAGAACCAAATTCAGATTAGACGCTGAGCCATCTTTCCAATCCTGGACATGCACACTTTAAACTCTGCACCACTGACCTGCCTAGGAAGTATGCCAATTTACATTCTCAGGAGCACTGTGTACAAGTGCTTTTTTCCCATGCCCCTTGTCTATTCAGGCTTGGTTTGAAATTAAACACTCTTTTACTACTATTAAAAGTGGAGGGCTTTAGAATCATTTAAAATTGAGAGGTATTAGGTTCAGCTAAAGATGAAAGTATATGAGGAAAGCAAAACAAAAAAAGCTAGAGGAAGAAAATACCAGCTTCCCAATACTTTCTGTACACTCAGAGACTTCCATTCAATTAGTTTGGTCTTTTATCACCCTACTTATTCCTCCTCACAATGTAGTTTTTAAATATTTATTTATTCTGGGGGCAAGGCAACAGAGCACATGAGAAGATCAGAGGACAACTTTGGGGGCCAGTTCTTTCCTTCCAAAATGTGGATTCAGGTCATCAGGCTTGGTGGCAAGTACCTTTAACCCCCTCACTGGGCTCCTTTAAAATGCTGAGGCATAAGCCAGGCGTTGGTGGCACACACCTTTAATCCCAGCACTCGGGAGGCAGAAGCAGGCGGATCTCTGTGAGTTTGAGGCCAGCCTGGTCTACAGAGCGAGTGCCAGGATAGGCTTCAAAGCTACACAGAGAAACCCCCGTCTTGAAAAACCAAAGAAAGAAAGAAAGAAAGAAAGAAAGAAAGAAAGAAAGAAAGAAAGAAAGAAAGAAAGGTTGAGGCATTAAAGCCCCTGTTAGGTTTTGTTTCCAATCATCACCTGCAGAGAGGAGGAAAGGGGGAGTGTGTGGCTGTGGATATGAATGCTCACGACAACATGTCTGTGTCTAGCTGGTGATCAAGTATCAGCTTTCCTCGGATCTGTCACTGTGTCATGATCTAGTTACCAAGTGTGTGGTATAGAATGGAGCACACTGAGGTTGCGATGTTTTGCTTTCCAAACAGTAGCTGTCTGCTCTAAATGCTCTTCATGAAAAGCAGCAATTTAGGCATGTTTATCATCATCAAAACCTTGGACTATTTCAACTCACACATCGAACATGACAGTGAGGGAGAAAAACTCATCCCAGAAGAGGATTCTATGTTAGTATTACCCTACACCAGAGGATCAATCAGCTGGTTTTACACGAGTTTCATGGCTGAGAGACAGATTCTTTTTTGTTTGTTTGTTTTTTTATTTTTTTGGTTTTTTGAGACAGGGTTTCTCTGTGTAGCTTTGGAGCCTATCCTGGCACTCGCTCTGGAGACCAGGCTGGCCTTGAACTCAAAGAGATGCCTCTGCCTGTGCCTCTGCCTCTGGAGTGCTAGGATTAAAGGTGTGCACCACCAATGCCCAGTGACAGACAGATTCTTAAAGGTATCCTTGCAAAATAGAACTAACAACAGAATATAACACTATGAAAGGACAAGAATATGCCTTTCTTTCTGAACCATTACTGAAATACCCTCCATGTCCACAGAAAGGTTTGCACTCCAATAATCAAAAGGTCACAGTTTAAGTTTAATACTATTTTGTTTAGAGAGGGTCTAAACAGGCTAGCCTTGAATTCTCCTGCATCTGTTCTCAGGTTCTGGGATCACAGCCCATGTGATGCCACACTCCACTCTAGCTTTGCATTTATAAGATGCAATGTGATTTCTCATCAAGTTGCAGGTTCAGACCTATTCAGGAAACCAGCTGGCCATGATTTACTGAATTCAGTTTTGTTCCAATATTTGTGGGTTATTTACTAAACAAGTACTATTGTTTAGATGGCATGCAATTTTGAGTGCTAGGCACCAGCAATAACTCAACAGCAATAATAAAAAAATAAAAGTTATCGCTCTAAAATTCTACATGGATGCTGGGCAGTGGTGAACACCTTTAATCCCAGCACTGGGGAGTTAGAGGCAGGTGAGTCTCTGAGAGTCGGAGGTCAGCCTGGTCTCCAGAGAGAGTTCCAGGACAGCCTCCAAAGCCACAGAGAAACCCTGTCTCAAAAAAACAAAACAAAATCTACATGAAGAAACAGACCAAACCCAAAAGTTAGTAAAGTAGCCAGGCATGGTGGCACATGCCATTAGTTACAGCACTCAGGAGGCTGAGACAGCTGCTCTGACTTTGAGGTGAATAAACCTGGTTTACGTAGCAAGTTCCATCCAGTTCAGCCAAGGCTATATAGAGAAATCCTGTCTTAAAAACCTGTTGGGAGAGTGGAAGAGCAACCCAGCCTGCTAAACTCGCCTCTCTTGACTGTAATGCCTAAAACGTTTGAGAGTTTCCAGGTCAAACCAACCCAAACAGAAAGTTTTGTTCCTTAGCATAGAGACCCCAGAGAGGGTGGTCGGCAGAGAGGCGGGGCGTGTCATGTATGTGCTCTGTCAGGGTGGTCAGCAGAGAGGCGGGACGTGTCATGTATGTGCTCAGTCAGGCTCCCCCTGGGACTCTTGTCTTCTCCAAGGCTGCCACACATTCTAGTCTGTGTCTTGTGCTCTGTCACACCACTGAAGACAATGCTAGAAAGTGAGGAGAGGCCCGCCCACACCGGTATCTCTTGTCTTTGCATCTCCGCCTTCCTTCCCGCCCAGTACCTGGGTCATTTTGTCCACAGAGACGGGAATCCCATCGATAGTGAGAGGCGGCAGTTCGGAATTAACCTCCTGTGGCGCAGGGGCGTGCTCTGCCAGAGCAGACTCCAGGTCTTCCAGGATCATGCTCTTGTACTTTCGCACCTGCAGGGAATTAAGGGCAGAAATAAACAAGATGCTCAACAGCTAGGGAGGGTTGGTGCCAAGCAACAACAAAGTAGGTTGGGCTGGTGTCCCTTAGCCACTGCAAAGCCCCAAGAACAAACACTCCTGCAAGTAGAAGGTGAAAATACCCGCTGGCCCCAAAGACACCATTGAACAGAGTCAAATGATAAGATGATGAAATTTCAGGTAACAACAATAGGAAGGAGTCAGTGGGAAAGCTCTATAGGAATACTAGTGTTTCTCAGTTAAGACTCATGTTTTCTCAATCCACAGAGATCTGTCACCTGTTCCAGACATAATATAAATAACATTCTGCCTTTACCAGGCCAGTTGTGTTCTAGATCACATCTAATGCGACAGTTAACTGTCAAAATAATTTTCCAGATCTAAGGACTTATGTATCTAATGTATTTGAAACTATTGTTTTTTTTGTTGTTGTTGTTTTTGTTTTTTTGTTTTTGGAGAAAGCCAGGCACCACATGGACAGGAGATCCAAGTGCTTTAGAGTCTGGACTGAAAAGAATCAGACAAAGCAAGAGATGAATAATATATCTGAGTGCCAAAAGTACCATTACTAGGAAGGGCTGAGGCCAGGAAGCCCCACTGGTCAGCCCCTCCTCCCTTTAGGTAATCCCCAGAGACAGAGGTGAACTTCAAAGCCATGGTGTCAATGTTGTTCCCTGACTTGTTCTTCACCAGTGCAGTGAAAGGCATCCCAAGACAGCAGGCCCTGGGCGGCAGGCTTCTGTCATGAGCAAGAGGCGGAGGTGCATACGGGAGCCGCCTGCAACCACCAGTAACGGGCTTATTCATTTAGAAGAAAACACAGGGGAATGAGGACATCTCTGGGGAAAATAAAGTCATGGAAGTATGGAAATGTAACTAGATGGGACAGGAAATTAACTTGTTTTCAGGACTTAAGGCATTCTCTTGGGGCAGGGTGGGGGGCACAAGACAGGGAGGGGGGCCAAAATGAATTTTGTCAAGAAGCACCAACAGTGTTTTCGTTCAATGAACTCACTTCCTTACTGATACCTCACGGTGAGGCTCACAAGAGAAAGACCCCAATCTCTACACCACACACCTGAACAATAAAACCAGACCAAGTTCTAAAGCGACAGAATCCTCCAAATAGGAGGGTCAAGGGATGAAAGAAAAATGGTACAAACACTAGACTCACTATAACTTGACTAATTCAGTTTTACACTAACACAAAAAAGTCTCAAATATTATCACCAGTATGTTTATTATATCATAAGCACTGGTACTATCAAGGCATTATGGAGGCTTTTAATTTTTTGAGTTTTTATGCTTTTAATCCACAAGGTGTATCAAGCTGAATTCATGCACGCAGGCCTATAGGAAGAATAAAAATGGTGTAAGAATACTTTGTTGTGATGGTAATACCTAGCATTCAAAGATGGATTATCACTATTACAGTAGTCCGCATCAAATAATTTCAACTTTTCTGGCTGTCCTGGAACTTGCTCTGTAGATCAGGCTGTCCATGAACTCACACAGATCCACTTGCCTCTGCCTTCCAAGTGCTGGGATAACTTGGGGATAACAGTGGGATGTGCCACCACTGTCTGGCTAATTTCGTTATTTTTATGGATTAGGAAAAGTCCTATTATGGTATTTTGCTAAATTAACTATGCTGGGAGAGTATATTTTAGAGTAATTTCGAGAGAGCAATTCCAGGTGATCACAGCACTCCATCTAAACTTGCTTAGTACGGTGGATTTCCCAGAACATAAAGTCAGTGTTTCGATTCTATCTAACCTCTCGGTTCTGAGACGCCTTCCCCACCTCCTACCCACAAACCTCATTTCCAGTCCCCTAAAATCTCAGGGCGTCTAAAACTGCAGGCCAGGCTCCTCACTAGTTTTTGCTTCTAGCAAAACTTTTCTTTTCTACTTCTGGGCCTTCAATTATGCTTCTTATCCAAATATTGTCTATTTTTCAAAGTACAAACCCAATTTCCACAAAATCTCTGAAAAACCGTCTCAAGTTCCTGTCTTAATTATCTTCCTGCTTTAAATTCCTGGTCTCAAATAATCACGAGTCACACTATTGTTCCCACAGTGCATTGTGCACAACAAATACCTGACACTACTAAGCACCGTCTTTTTTTTTAGCATGTATCATGAAATACTTGAAGTATTCACACGCAGAAGTACATTACCAAATGTTTTCATGAATACCAGGGATAGGAGGTTAGGTTTAGATGCCACTGAGACTAAAAATAGATTGTCATCTGGAGCTTATAACTGAGAGCTGCCCGAGCATGGCACAGCCCTCATACTCGTGACTCTGTGACTGGCTAGGAGCCATGCTTCAGCTGTGGCTAGTGAAGTTAGGCTGGCTTCATCCAGCTCTCTTTCCAGCCCCCATAATCAGCTCCTCCACCAACCATGGACTCCTAGGTTTGTTTGTTTTACAAGATTTTGTATTTATTTTCTCCTGCTCTCTATATGCATGTGCTACGGCACTGTGTGTGAAGATGAGAGGTCAATGTGTAGAATGGATTTTCTCCCTCCGGGACATGGATTCCAGGTACTGAACTCAAGTCATTGGGCTTGTCATCAAGAGCCTTCATCTGCTGAGACGGATCACCAGCCCATTATATACTTTGCATATGTAAGTGTGGTTCCATATGCACGGAGGTCGGAGGTCGGAGGTCGGAGGTCAGGAGAGCCTCAGGCGTTAGTCTTCATGGCCTGGAGCTTCAGAGGATTCTCCTGTCTCAGTCTTCTATCTCTCTGCAGGATTACAGATGCAGGCTACCACACCCAGTTTTAGTTCTGAGGATTCAAACTTGGGCCCTCAGGCTTGCATGGTAAGGTGGTTTATCAAAGGAGACATCACCCTAGCTCCACAGTTACTACTTTTAAAACATTTGCCTACATTTTATATAAAGGAAACCATTTTTTAAAACCTATGGTGGCGCACACCTTTAATCCCAGCACTCGGGAGGCAGAAGCAGGTGAATCTCTGTGAGTTCAAAGCCAGCCTGGTCTCCAGGACAGCCTCCAAAGCTACACAGAGAAACCCTGTCTTGAAAAACAAAACAAAACAAACAAACAAACAAACAACAAACAAAAACCCAAAAAAACCTGTATAAACAAATGAACAACACAGTCCACTTACCTATCAGGAATAAAAAGGAAATAAAGGTAGAAGGATGACTTCTAGGAAGCTGGTGGTAACTCCAGAGCTACCTCAGTCCTCTGTTGACTGTGAAGTGGCCAGCTGTATTCAAGCGGCCCAGCTGAATGCTCCAGGCCCCTGGTTCTGACTAAAGAGTTCTACCTTCAGAAGCCCCCAAGTGCTTGGGAAGTTTTCACTATGTTCCTCAAGAAAATATTTTAGGCTATTCCTATAGAGCTCTAGAAAGTCTATGGTTTGAACTAAGTCTCAGAGAATGGCCCTCAGAACACAGTAACCAGCTACTTCACCTCCATTACGCCCTAAGCTCAGCGTTTCTCATACAACATCCCCTTCATAGACAGTCAGATTTAACATTAGTCCCAGGGAGGAAGGCACTGCTATCCTTATTGTACACACAGGACATTGAGGGAAAAACTCTAGTGGAAAATATTTTCTTTCTGCTTTTTGTTTTTTTTCTTCTTTCTTTTTAAATTAGGGGTGTGGAAAGATGGCTCAGTGGTTAAGAATGCTTGCTGTTCTTCCAGACTACTCTGTTCAATCTTGTACAACCAACCTGTCACTCCAGTGCCAGGAAACTTCATGCCTTATCTGGTCTCCAAGAGCACACATACACATGAGGCATACACTTACAAGACACACACACACACACACACACACACACACACACACACACACACACACACCAAAAAACAACAATAACAACAAAAGCCCAAGGATAAAAATATACAGGCCAAGCTGCCTTCCCTGCTGGGAATAAAGGCATGTGTCACCATGCCCAGCTAAACCAACTTTTTTAAAAAAAAGGCAAAACATACTTTTTAAAAAAGATATACTAAAATATGTGACTAATAGTGTTTCCAGTTTGCCTTATAAAATTATTATCCTGGAATCATACAGTGTTTCGTTTCAGATATGAATAAAAAATTTCACATTTTTTTAAAAGTGGTGTCAAGGACAGCCTTGAACTCAATTTGAAGCCAAGGATGACCTTGAATACCTGATCCTCTTGCCTCCACACCTAAATGCTGAGATGACAAGCATGTACCATGTCACCTGGTATGATTCATAGGATGGAACCCAAGACTTCATGAATACCAGGCAAGGGCTCTACCAACTGTGTTACATACTCAGCCCTGTTCTGGTTTCATAACAAATAAAACTTTTGTTCTTTTCTTCACTGTCCCTGGTGGGGTACAGTACCTTGACTTAGGAACTAGAAACAGTAATAATCATCTTAAAAAATTATTATTCTATGTGCACAAGGCATGATACAACTTTGGCCAAGTATCAAGCTAGGTTCAAAAGAGCTCTACAATCTGTTCTATTCTTGACTGACATATGAACATAACCAATAAGGCATCTATCTGACTGTTGCCATGAGGCAGATCTTTTTGGTTTCAATCTGCATAAAGTAGTTTGAAAACCAGTTGCCACCTTCCATCCTGAGACAGACAGAAGAAAGAGGAATAAAAGGTGAAAATCTACACAAAGCAAAGGGAACAGAATTCAGATCTGACTTACCACGTTCTCCAAAGGTGCTGCTCCAAACACCTTAAAGACAGGGTTGGGTTTGGAGGGTGAAATACAGAGAACGATAGCTTGCTGTCCTACTCGAGTAGTATATTCATCTAATGTGGCTCGGAGTTTCCTGAACAGAATGAAAATAAAAGGTTATGGGATGATAAAAAATACTGTGATGGAGTCACAGACCAAACGTCCTATGATTTAAGACAATTCTGATGAAAATATGTTCTGAAATTTTAGAAAGGAAAGGACAGTGTGTTTTGGGATTCTGTCTGAGAAAGTGTGGACATGCTCTCTTAAGCCCATCACATAAGGATGTATTTGGGCTTATGCCTAGGACACAGACATGACAATGTTTAATACAGTAAGTTACAACTTTTTTGAGGCAGGGTCTCTTACATAGCTCTAGTTGTCCTAGAACTCGATATGAAGACCAGGTTGGCCTCAAACTCGGAGATCTGCCTGCCTCTGCCTTCCAAGTGCTGCAATCAAAGGCACAACACCAATTACTGCTATTGACAATTTTAAGTAGGACTACTGAGATGTCATTTACAGACTTACCTTGTTAGCGCTATGACAAAGGTTGCCCAAATGACCAATTTATTTTATTGATATAGTCAATATTCATTTCACACTGATACACTTTATCCAAAATAAATACTTTTAAAATGTTGTGGGCCAGTGTGATGGGCTTAGTGGTAAAGGTGCTAGCCTGTGAACCTAAATGCAGTCCTAAATGGCAGAAGGAAAGAACCATCAGCAAGTTATTCTTTGCCCTCTATACATGTACCACGGCCTGTGTGTACCTATATGCCACCACACACAAAATAAATAAATGTAAAGGAGTTAAAGTATTGTGACTTCAGATTTATTTATTTATTATTTGGGCCAGGATTATTAGCCCATGCTGGTCTTAAACTCCTGATAATCTACCTCCATCCTCCAGGGGCTAAGTCTGAAGGTAGGTATCACAATGCCTAGCTACAGCTTTATATTTTACTGTGATACAGACACACTGTCCTGGTTAGCTTCAACTGTCACATTGACACAGTCTCACTAAGGAACTTGTCCAGATTAGACTGGTCTATAGCATGTCTGTTAATGAGGGTTCTGGGCTGTGTTAGAAAGCTACTTAAAGTGTAAGCATACAAGTGGTGTGGTGGTGCACATTTTTAATTCCAGCACTTGGGAAATTGAGGCTGGCAGATCTTTGTGAATTCAAGGCCAACCTGGTTTACGTGGTGGTTCCCACATAGCAAAGAATAATAAAAACAAAACAAACACCAACAATATAAAACAAAGCCTGCAAGGGAGCAAGCATTCCTGGTTTCTACTTCCAGTTCCTGCTCTGACTTCCTCCCTGATGAACTGTGACCTGAAGTAATCACATAAGCCCTTTCTTCCCCTACATTGCTTTTGGTTAGAGTACTTTATCTCAGCTATAGAAAAGAAACTAGAACACAAACCCACAATGAGGAGGAAATGAGTTTCTGCAGTAGCCCCACTTACCTGTGGGGGTCTGCTCCAAACCAGATACCAGTGGATACCTGTGAGCTGAGATGGAATCAAACCCTTTGCACATTGTGTTTTTATCCTGAACATGCATACCAATAATAAAGTTTAATTACAAGCCAAGTACAGTAAATGATGAACAATAACTAATAGAAACAATTATAACAGAGGCCAAACAGATGGCTCAATGGTTAAGAGTACTTGGTGCTCTTGCAGAGGACCTGGGTTTGATTCCTAGTACATACTAACTCCAGATTCAAGAAACTCAAAGCCTCTGCCTCCTAAAGTGCACATAAACCCATGCAGGCACACAAATCCCTCCTCTGACCTCTGTGGACACCAGACACTTACATGGTGTACCTATACATGCAGGCAAACACTCACACACACAAAATAATTAAATTAAAATCTTAAAAATATTCAAATTGGCTGGGCATGGTATCACACATCTTTAATCCCAGAATTTGGGAGGCAGAGGCAGGTAGATCTCAGTGAGTTTCAGGACAGCCAGAGCAGCTACACAGAAAAACCCTGTCTCGAAAAACAAAAACAAAATAATATTCAAATTATAAAAATATAGTTAGTAAAATTACTTAAGACTTACTATTTAGTTTAGAACTTTCCGTTTAATATTTGTAGATTATGGTTGACCATCTGAATTAATTGCAATCACAGAAAGAAAACTCTGATACAGTGAGAATCTAGGGTAGGAGCAACAGATAAACAGAATACCACACTTTTCCTGAGTCACAGGGATCATCACAGGGGTTCTCCTGTGACTCAGGATCCTACATTTCATAATACCAAACAAAACATCAGGCAGTATTTCTTGAATGAATGGTTGATAGGCACTGCCTCCAATTATCTCTCCACTCTCCCTTAAAACAACATCTTGGTATGTAGCCCAGGCTACCTCAAAAACCATGGCCTGCCTACCTCAGTCTCTTGAGTGCAGGGATTATAGGTGTGAGCTAACCATGCCTTGAACCTGTGGCCATCCTCCAACCTCAGCCTCCCAAGTGCTGGGACTATAAGCATGAACTACCATACCAGTTTGCCAGCCTCCTGATGGAGCTGGGCTTTCTTCACTCCTCTAATCATTCCCGTCCTGCTCCCCCTGATTGCTTTTTAAAAATCACTATCTTGACTGGGTGTAGTGGCTCATGCATTTAATTCTGGCACTCAGGAAGCAGAGATAGGCAGATCTGAGTTCAAGGCCAGTCTGGTCTGCAGAGTGAGTTCCAGGACAGCCAGAAATACATATTGAGATCATGTCTCAAAAAATAAAATAAGAAATAAATAAATAAATAAATAAATAAATAAATAAATAAAATAAGGTAAATAATAAAACGACTACCTTGGTTCTCAGTACTCCCTCTGCCTGAAATGCTGTTCCCACAGACATAAACACAGCCACTCTTTCAGTCAGCTCCTCCCAGCTCTGTGCAAAAGTCACCTCATCAGAAGGATTTCCTCAGACCATTCTTAGGCTAGAGAAACAACTATGCTCTTTGCCCTCCTGACACATTTTCTCTATTCTCTTTTCTCCCCAGAACACTTAGTCTGATTTAAAATAGTGTGTTTGTTTTCTTCCTCCCTCTTTCAGAATATAAATTCTTTTTTCTTTTTTTCCTGAGATAGGGTTTCTCTGTGTAACAGCCTTAGCTGTTCTGGAACTAGCTGTGTAGACCAGGCTGGCCTCAAACTCACAGAAATGAATTCGCCTCTCCCTCCCAAGTGCTAGGATTAAAGGCATGTATCACTACCTCCTCCCTGGCTCAGAATATAAATTCTTTAAGGGACTTTGTTGCTCAGTGTTACACCCTCAAATGTTTAGAGTGCTGTCTGGCACACAGCAGGCACACACATTTCCTCTGGATGGATTAATGTGACAAGCATTTTCCTTCCTTCCTTCCTTCCTTCCCTCCTTCCCTCCCTCCCTCCCTCCCTCCCAGACAGGGTCTTCCACTATGTAGCTCTGGCTGACCTGGACTTCACTCTGTAGACCAAACTGGCCTTGAACTCACAGAGATCCACCTGCTTCTACCTCCCAAGTGTTGGAATTAAAGGTGTGCACCACCATAGCTGGTCAGTGTTATACATCATATTTTCTAGATTTTTATCAATTTAATTTTATGGGAATGATTCTAAGACTAAACCTTCCCTCAAACACTCCAACTCAGTGTCTTGAACCGAGTAAAAACTGTTCTAGCCCTTCCCACACACAAGGCATGTGAAGAATAGCAAGATGGGGTAAGGCAGGCCCTCACCGAAGCAAACGTGTCTGCTGTCTCTTCCGGATAGACGGATTAGACTCAAACACGTGAGGACGTTTCCGTTTCTTCCCCGTTGCCACAGCAGCAGCAGCAGCCATTCCCACTGGACCTGAAATAATAAGTATGCACTGAGATTAGGCAGAGGCCTACAAGGGTACAAGACAAAAAAACAGCACACTACCAGTGAAAACAGAATGTTTCTGATATTCTCAATGTTCTTCAATATTGTTTCTCATGAACCGTATGAGTTTATATCTTATGCAAATGTTGTATACCTTCCCGCCACACACCATCTTCAAACTTGTACAATGCTGTTGCTTTATTTTGCCAGCATGCCCACACTGATAGGACAGTGTTCACACAGGTACCAGGAAATACTGCAGCACTGTGAGAAAGGCATGTTTATACTGAAACAAGCTAAGGGCTTCACACACCACTTCTGCTCCATGGCCCTCCCTCCCACTGCTCCAAGACCCTGCCAAATTAAAGAACTGGGAGAACTTGGAGTGAACAGGCACACTCCCACCTACAAAGGGCCATCTGGAAGAACACCAGCTAAGCTGGAGACTGCCAAGGAATGAAGACAGCAGCCGTAAGTAAGGTCCAGGCGATGAAAGAATCCTGGCCCAGGAGATGAACACATCCTAACTCCAACAAGAAAAGGTTAACATAGGCTGGGCTAGTTGCCCTGAAACTAATGTATAAAGGTCTTAGGATTTGGGGGGAGGGATAAATGAAGGGTAATCCTAAGGAACTACTATTACAGTCTCAACATTTAGGGGTTTCAACATTTTTTGTTTTGTTTGTTTATTTGTTTTTGGTTTTCAAAACAGGGTTTCTCTGTGGCTTTGGAGGCTGTCATGGAACTAGCTCTTGTAGACCAGGCTGGTCTCGAACTCACAGAGATCCGCCTACCTCTGCCTGGGATTAAAGGTGTGTACCACCAACGCCCTGTGGGGTTTCAACATATTAAAGGCAGAATTTCACCTTTATCCATTCTTGCCAGCCCTATAAAAGGCTTGGATGAAAAGTAAATTGCAAACGTTTATATTTGCATGTATATTCTAGTGGTGAACTGCAGGCTGCTCGGTGCTAGCATGGTCTTGATTAAATGACACCCTCTAAAGAACACTGGAGCAAGTGGTAGGGGATTCTCTCTCTCTCTCTCTCTCTCTCTCTCTCTCTCTCTCTCTCTCTCTCTCTCTCTCTCTCTCTCCCTCCCTCCTTCCCTCCCTCCCTCCCCAGGGTCTCACTATGTAACCCAGACTAGTTTGGATCTCAAAGTGATCTTCCTGCCTCAGCTCCCTAAGTGCTGGAATTATAGGCAGCATTGTACCCAGCTAGCTATAAGGAAAAACAAAAACAAAACAAACCAAAAAAAAAAAAATTAATTGCACTGCCTCCCCATTTTATTATAAAACCGTGGAAATATTTTAACACAACATCTGTCTTTGAATAAAATTTTGTATGCAAAACAGCATTATTAACCATACCCACGATGTACAGATTTCTAGAATTTATCCATCTTACATATCTGAAATCATCCCTCCCCCTCTTCCTTTCCATTTTTTGAGATAGTCTTAAGTTGGACAGGCTGATTAGAGTCATTAAATAACTCAGGATGACCTTGAACTTCTGATGCTCCTGCCAGGTATGCACTATCTTTCCATCTACTCTGCCTCCAGGTCTGCCTTTGCTCCCTTCTTCCTGACCTCCTTTCTCCTTCCTCCTCCTGCTCTGGTGCATACTTGGCAAGCATGCTGGCTCAAGCACTTGTGGCTTTAATTACTAAATGCTATCCCCGGCACTGAAACAATCTGTTGAAAAGCAACTTCTCACACCTCCTTTTCCTCAGCCTGGCAACCATTCTACTGTATGGATCTGGCTATTCTACTATAAATTTGTCTATTTCAATCCTTCACACACATGGAGTTATACAACATCTGTCCTTCTGTGACAGGCCTATTTCTGTTAGTATAATGTCTTTAAGGTTGATCTGTGTTGTCACATATAGCAAGATTTCCCCTTCTGAAGGCTGAGAGGATGTGAGTGTATATATTCATTTCCTCTGGCCTTTCATCCACAGAAAGACATCTAGTTTATAGTCACAAACAGCTACTGTGTATAGGGATCAATTTGGGATCCAATTCATTTGGTTACTTAGAAATGCCATATGATCCAGAAGGCCTACTTCTGTGTTTGAACTTCTTGGAGGAAGCTCCACATTCTTCTATAGAAGCTTTATTTTATATTACCATGTGATGTACAAAGGACCCAACTGTTCCGTGGTCTTGCCAAAGACAGCTATCTTTTGTAACTGTGGCAACAGATATCCTCTTAGGCCTGGGGTATCATCACATGTGTTTTCTGTGACACTGAACACCTTTTCACAAGGGATGTCTCTTCAAATCCTCTATTTTAAAATATCAGGTTGGTTTTCTCATTGTGCTGCTATTTTATTATGAAAAGGTTTAACTGTATACACAAAGCTTAAAGAATTTTAACATTTTACCATAAGTAACTTCTATTTGTCAATCCATACATTTTTTGGTGCAATGTCAATATAATATACTTAAAGCCAGGGGGCAGTGTCATACACCTTTAATCCCAGCACTTGGGAGACAGAGGCAGACGGATCCTGGAGTTCCAGGACAGCGAGGGCTACACAGAGAAACCGGTCTCAGAAAAATAAAAGAAGAAAAAAAGAAACCCTGTCTGGAGAAAACAAAACCAACCAACCAAACAAACAAAAAGCCATCTGGGGACCCAGTAAAATGGCTCAGTGGGTAAAGGTGATTATTGCCAAGCTCAACAAACAGAATTCTGTCTCTGGGACCCACATGGTAGACAGAGAAATGATTCCAACAGATCTCCACACATGCACTGTGGCATGGGTAACACACATAGACACAGTCTTTTAAAAGCCTGAAGAGAACATGATAAAAATGTAGCAATACCTGGCAAAGCCGTGTAGCACGCATACGTGTGTTTGCCAGGTTGCCCTTGATTCTTTTCTATATTCCAGTGTCAGGTTACTTTTCAGGGTTCAAGATTTCAGACTTGTCACAATCATCAAAGCCCATTGTCAAGGAAGCAGCTGTCTCTCTACAGAGCATGTGAATCTTTCTACTTTAATCCACTGCCTCAGAGAAAATAATTCAATTCTGTTTAAAATGACGTGCCCTGGCGGAGGGAGAGATGGCTCAGCAGTTAAGAGCACTTGTTGCTCTTCCAGAGGATCCACCATTGTCTCTAGCACCCACATGGCATGTCATTTCCATCTCTAACTCCAACACCTTCTACTAACTTCTGTGGGCACCAGGCACACGTGTGGTCACATACATACATGCAGGAAAACACTCATAAATCTAAAAGAATAAAACATCTTCTGAAATTGATACAGGAGACTAACTTGGGAAAAGGTTGACTATCCTGGGCATGCGTACATGCACAGTGGACACATGAGTGTTCCTCAGGTGCTGTCTGCCCACTGGCCGAAGAGCAGCAACTGCACTAGGCTACCTGGCCAGCAGGCTTCCGGGGTCTGCCTGTCTCTGTCTCCCCAGTGCTGGGAGAGTAGCAACTGCACTAGGCTACCTGGCCAGCAGGCTGCAGGGTCTGCCTGCCTCTGTCTCCCCAGTGCTGGGACTGTAAGTGCAAGTCACCACGCCCAGCTTCTTACCTGGGTCCTGGAGATCAAACTCAGGTCCTCATGCTTGCACGGCAAGCACTTTGCTGACTGAGCCATCTCCCTGGGCCCTTCTTATTATTATTTTTTTTTTCTTGAAAATCAACATGATCAAGAGCTATTCTGGGCTGAAGAGAATTAGAAACATTTTTTGACAGGCAACATGGCACAAAGGGTGATTTGACTTTTCTGAGTTGCCTCTTAGATCTGAGGATGTTACAGACTAGTCCTCAGAAAGAATTCTCTAGCAAGCAACAAATGTGACAAGTTAGTATTAATTATAACCCTGGGCAGTTAATGGCCCTGCCACCTTGGTAATTCCCCTTTGCTTACTGTGATTACAGGTGTGTGCGCCTCTACACCCAGCTGCTTCTGCAAATGTCCCTAAGCCCTGTGTGGCTTCATGTCAGCCCTCTTGTATTATTTTTTCTTCCTGCTCACAAAGTTCAACCACAATGGCCTCCTTCCTGTTTTCATCTGAAAGTCCTTGCCTTTGACCTTTCCTTGGTCTGAAATGCCCTCGCCTTGGCACTTCCCTGCACCAATAACCTGCCACCAGCAGCCTGACATTGTCTTCAGAAGTGAGCTTTTATCTTATTCAAAGCATCTATACCTTGTAGTACATATGATTACAATTCCTTCAGGGCAACTCATTAGAAATTTGAAGGGCCTCTATTTTCACACCAGATAAATGATTTTAGTCCTTTTCTGTTCTTTGTTTTGAGACAAGGTCTCATTGTGTTGTCTAGGTTGCTCTTGAACACCTGAGCTCAAGTGTTCTTCTGTCTCAAACCTCCTGAATAGTAAGGGAATCCACGTACAGGCCATTATACCTAGCTATTTCTAGTCTTTTCCTTAGGAACTGAACCCAGGGTCTCACACACATGTTAGGCAAGCACTCAAGCCCTGAACCTGTCAGTCTCAGCTGCCTCTGCATCCTTACACTATGGCAATGCAGAACAGAGGCACAGCAAAGCCATGTCTCAAGAGCTTCTTCCTTCATGGGAAGAAGTTGGCCTGGGTACATTATGTTAGGATGCCCTCTTCTGGGAAGTATAAAAACTTCACAAAACATATGTTCCAAACATTTAAACCCAGTGCCTTGCACATGCTAGCTAAGTACTCTACCACTGAGCTACACACCCAGCCCCTCCCTTACCTTTTAAGGTCATAGTCAATAAGTTGAGTATGAGATTATAATACTTTTCTTCTTCACCTTAATTAAATACAGCATATATTTTTAAAGCATAGTATTTGGTCATTCCTAATAATTAGCTTCCTGCCCTGCTTTTCCTAAATAAAACACTAGATCCACCCAAGCATGTGTATCCTCGCCATAGTGCTAAATACACACATTGTCCACAGAATGATAGAAAACACAGCCAGCTTTAAGTCACTTGGTACCTTAGAAAACTTCAAACTTATAAATTGGACTGAGATGAGGACCACTAGTGTTCCCTATACTGTCTAGAAGATTCAAACAGAAACCTTGTCCAGCATAGTATTAGACCCCAAATTACTTTAAAATAATTTCCAAACACATCATACAACAGTCATTCACATATAACTAACTAGCATATGAAGCAAGGAGCCAGTATAAACAAGACCTATCACTAGCAACAGACGGCAACAGCTCCAGTCCCTCAGACAGAATTACCAAATGAACTGTAAAATCATCCTATTACTTGTGGAAATCTACAATCATAATAGTAATAAATTTCCACACAAACTGGAATCTTACAGTGCAAGTCTGGACAGATGGAGAGACTCACTCTCATTAGAAAGTCCAGGACTGAGATGTATGGCTCAGGGTAGGGCTCTTGTCTAGCATGTGAAAGCCTGGGGTTCATCCCCAGCATAAAGGCAAAGAAAAGCCAATACTAGACATTCTTTTTCTTAACCTTCAAAATATTAAAATCTAAATATGTCAGCCCTTATTTAATGTGAATATAATAAACACTCTGGCTAAAAACCAGAAGACTATCAGAATGGATAAGAAAAGACAATCAACACCGTCACACTACTAATAAGTGACCCCAGAACTCAACTCTCACGGAACAGGCTAAAGTTGAGGTGCAGGCTTAAAAATTTGTGATGAAGGGCTTGGGATGTAGCTCAGTGGTAGAGTACTTGCCTAGTATATGCGAGGCCCTGGGTTTGATCCCCAGCACTGAAAAAAAAAAAATGATGAAAAGATATGTGAGAGGCTTGAATCCCAGGCTCTTTCAGACAGGCACGAGACCACAAGCTAAGGAAAGAGGAGAGCTTCCAGTGCAAACATTACCTGCAGCAGCCAGATGGGCAGTTACCTCATCCGCTGCCGTGGAGTTGAGAATGTCCGAGTCATCATAGGAGGTATCCTCAGGGGAGGAAGGGGAGTCTTCATCAGCACTCAGCATACTGTGCTCAGTGTACGTGGCTACATGGACCTGCTGGACTTGCTGGGCCACGGCATGGGCTTCGATGGTAGCCATGTGTTCAGTTTGGGTCACTCCGTGTTCCTCCATGAAGAGCTACAGCTAGAAAAGAAGAAGAAGAAGAAGAAGAAGAAGAAGAAGAAGAAGAAGAAGAAGAAGAAGAAGAAGAAGAAGAAGAAGAAGAAGAAGCAGCAGCAGCAGCAGCAGCAGCAGCAGCAGCAGCAGCAGCAGCAGCGGAGGAAGGAGAGGATGTCGAATCAGCATACAATGTAACAATGATTAAACTAGTTTTTTTTAAGAACAGAGAAATTGTTTTGATAACCTCTGATTTTATGACTTACTTGATCACACCAAGGTATGGGAAATTCAAATGATATAAAATAGTAGAATATTTTTATTTGAAATCATTTTGACAGAAATTCACTAGTATACAGAAACATAAGCACACATCAAAGTCACAAAACATTAAAAATCCTTGATATATGTATAACAATAAAAGATGTTTAATAGCCCAATGGCTACTAGCATTTGATACTGTGATATAAAATACTTAATGATAAAATAGTTAGGATTATCTTTATATTTCAAAGACAAATGGGAACAGCCTCCCCATATAATAATTAAATTTGGTTGTATGTTTACAAAACTATGCTCCTTGTAAGTCTGAAACGGTGCTTTTTGGTAGAAAAGCTGGCTCTCCCACCATATTATCCCTCCTCTTTTTCTCCACAAGCTCATTATTTGTGAGAGAAAAAAAAAAAAAAAAGAAGCAAACATGTAGATATTTAAAATAAAACAGGTTTATGATGACACAATGTTTTTCTCTCTCATTTTAATATACCTAGACATTTTGATATACTAAAGCACACAAACCTATCATATCCTTTTAAACTAGCTATAGAATACTTTACTGTATAGCTGTGCTGACGAAGCAAGGTTGCTTCCAAATTTTTGCTGTTATAAACATTAGTGCAGTGAACATCCTTATATAGGAAATTATATGTATTGGTTCCTAAAATGTTCTTTAAATAGAACGTCTATATAATCTGGCAACACAACTTGTGGTACTTACCCAGAAGAACTGAACGCAGGGTCTCAAAGAACTATGTGCACAGCCATATTCATAGCAGCATTATTCACAACAGCCAAAAGGTGGAAGCTACCCAAGTGTCCATCAGTGGGCAAATGGGAAAAAAAACGTGGTACATACGAACCACATATCATTCCACCTTAAAAAGGAAAAAAATGCAAATTAGGAATAAAGGGGATTTCTTCGACTTGATAAAGAATGTCTATAAAATGCCTATACCCATTATACTTAAAGATGAAAAACCAGAAGCTTTCCCATTAAGATAAGGAGCAAGACAAGGATGTCTTCTCTCACTATATCTTTTCAACATTACATTGGAACTCATAGCTTATGCAGTAAGACAAGACAGAAAAAAAAGATAAAAGAAATAAGGAAAAGAGAAGTAAGGGGGAGAGAAGGGAGAAGAAGACAGAGGGATGAAGAAAAGGCAGGAGGGGGATCTCTGGAAAGGATGAACGGCTGTCTCTGCATGACATGACAGTCTACACCTGAGGTCATCAACCAAAGACTCCTGGGCTGAACTGCAAGTAGGTTGTGAGACACAGGGTGGATACAGAAATCAACGTTTTCTTATATATCAACAATGAACAAGTAGAACTTGAAATTAAACACAATTTCAGTTCTATTAATGCCTCCTAAAAGTGAAATATCAAGATATAACTCTAACAAAACATGTACAGGAGCTACAGAGGCAGAGGGAGGCAACAAAAAATGTTACGACTGAGTTTTAAGCTTAGCACTATACCCAGTTTTAGGTGTCTGCTGGGGGCCAGGAACATATCCCCTGCAATAAACAGGAGATACTGCAAATTCTTTTCAATTTTTATTTTTATTTCAAATAGACATATAAAACTATATATTTACCATGTACAGCATGATATTTGAAAGTCACTTGGGAGGCAGACGGATCTCTGTGAGTTCAAAACCAGCCTGGCCTACAAGAGCTAGTTCCAGGACACAGAGAAACCCTGTCTCAAACAAACAAAAACAAACAAACAAAAAGAAAGCCCCCCCCCAAAAAAAAACCAAAAAGCCAGGCAGTGGTGGCGCACACCTTTAATCACAGCACTCT